GTAAATCCTAAAACAAACCATTCTTTTTACAATGTAACTAAAGCAAACTGGGCAACACAACAAGAAGTGTTAGGGTTCTTCTTCATCTTTTTTAATAATGGCGGTTGGCGAGCAATGTTTTGGAGCATTAGCGCCACTGACTGGAATGGCGTGTGGATCGGGGGGCTAAGAAAACATTTAAGGTACCTCAACAAAAAAGAACGGGATTCTGAACTGGAGACTTTAAATGTGGAGGGTCACAGAGGACAAAAAGCCTGATTAACGAGTTACAACAGGTGTATTGATTATGGATGGGAAACAGGTGAGTCAGTGGCTAAAATAATAAAACATGACTGAATAACACAAACTAATTTAAGACATAATAAAATCTAATACCAAACTGAAAGTAACTCTAAATACACACAGAAAAACTTCAAAGCCATCACACATCTAAAGCTCAAACAGATTTTCTGTGGAAATTCTGATAAACACAATGCATACATTTTTCAGCGCCACAATCATTTCTTCTTGTCTTTTATTGGCAGAGCTCAGCTTGGCATTTCTTTTCATGGCCTCTTCAACTAAAAAAAAAACAGATTAGGTCACCATAAAACATCTTTACATCAATACAGAAGTTTAGGTAATTCTCAACAAGTCCATTTTAGTCCTCATGGCTGTTAAACCTGACCTCATCTGGGTTCCATCGACAGGAACACCAGCTGACAAGCAGAAGGTGCGTTACATGAGTTTGTGTTATGTGTTACATGCTGAACTGGGAGATGTTTCTCACAGCCACACTTGTTTTATCTGAGTTTTCCTCCAGGAGCGGTCAGCGAAATGTGCTCAAACTGTAAAATGATGACTTGGATTAAGTGCTTGAAGAGATGCAAGATTTTGTTTTTAACAGATATTAGCACGTTGTTGAAACTAGGGGTGTCCCAGTAATAGTGTTTTTTCAGGCCAAGTATAAGTACAAGTACTTCAATTAGGGTACTTGCCAATATAAGTATTGATATAAATGTTAATGAGTTAGAAGAAACCTTTCTTTTTTATTAAGAACACAAAGGTCTGTTTCCTTCACATCACAAATCTAATATCTTACTTATTTATATCTTAAATTATTTCACCAAGCAAAAGCATCAGTCTGTTTTTATGAGTATAAGTATTTGAGGCCCGTGTCGTGACATATCCAGATTTTTGTGAAATGTTTCCAGCATTTAAATAAAAAATATTCAGGTTGTATGAGGAGCAATCCAGAGCCATGACTGGTAAAATGTAAATGAAGCTGCTGAGTCAGTTACATAGATTAAAAACATCTGTTAGGCAGGGATGGTCGTTTTTGTTTTTATCCAATCGTTTGTTACCATTTTGCTCTCGATTCCCATGAGCCTCCCGAACCACGGCGTATTGCCTGGAAAGGGCAGCGTATCTTTTCTCCACCTCCCCCAGCTGGCTCAGGTAGGTGTCCTTTGTCCGATTCTGCAGGGCCAGCTTTCGCTCCTGTGGAGGGGCCGCAGTTAAAACAGACAAACAAAACGGCATCCTTCTGAGACAAAAAAAAAAGAAAAAAAGGATATGCAAAACCTGTCTTGGCACTTCAGTTTGTTTCACTCATAAAACAATCAGCTACAGCCAGTAGTGAGTAAGTTTTGAATAACTGAAAGCGTTGTTGACTGGCTCCCTTCTGGCCAATTTTTTTTAGAAATAACGGTGGATATGAGGGAGTCCGAATATGATGCACTAATTTTGTGATTTTTTTTTAAAAAGCCTGTGGAAGAAAATTATGTTCTGGTTTTATTATTAACCTTTAAAGTTATAATGTGAAGGCTTGAGATGATGCATTTTTTGGCACAAAACTTGTTTTACTATTTTAACAATTAATATATCAAAATATTTAATTCATAAAGCCACGGGTGCTTTGACTTTTGGTATTTCAATAACTACTTTTTCAGCTATTTAGCTTTTTTGGCTGATAACTAAAGATGTCTTCAAAATGTTGAATCTTTACTGCACCTCTTACCTTTTTCTCTGGTTCTTTGTGCTAATTGCAGCCTTCTTTGGTTTCTCTTTTGTGCTAATTTTAGTTTTTTGTTTTGATATTCAGCTATTTTTCAGCTCCTTTATGCTTTTCTTCAGCTACTTTCAATTGTTCTGTGCTTATTTCTCTTTTATGCAGATTTAAATCGTTTTTTACATCTTAAACTACGTTTTAGTCAACTCCAGCTAATTTAAGCCTTTTTTCCTACTAACTTCTACGGAGCCCGCGAGGGGACATAGGAGAAAAAAATAAATAAAAACGCATCCTGACTTACTTTCTCAGGATCCCGAGAATGAAAGTCGAGATCCTGAGAAAGAAAGTCGGGATCTTGAGAACGAAAGTCGAGATCCTGAGAAAGAAAGTCGAGATCCTGAGAACGAAGTCGAGATCCTGAGAACGAAAGTTGAGATCCTGAGAACGAAAGTTGAGATCCTGAGAACGAAAGTCGAGATCCTGAGAACGAAGTTGAGATCCTGAGAACGAAAGTTGAGATACTGAGAAAGAAAGTCGGGATCCTGAGAAAGAAAGTCGGGATCGTGAGAACGAAAGTTGAGATCCTGAGAACGAAAGTCGAGATCCTGAGAACGAAGTCGAGATCCTGAGAACGAAAGTTGAGATCCTGAGAACGAAAGNTGAGAACGAAAGTTGAGATCCTGAGAACGAAAGTCGAGATCCTGAGAACGAAGTCGAGATCCTGAGAACGAAAGTTGAGATCCTGAGAACGAAAGTCGAGATCCTTAGAAAGAAAGTCAGGAGAAAGTTTCTCAGGATCCCAACTTTGTTTCTCAGGATCCCGACTTTATTTCACAGGATCCCGACTTTCTTTCTCAGGATCCCGACTTTCGTTCTCAGGATCCTGACTAAGTCAGGATCCGTTTTTTCATTTTCTCCCATGTCCCCTCGCGGGCTTCGTAAACTTCACCTTTTGTTTTATTTCAGAAAACAAATGCTCTTTCTGCTATTTTGTGCTGATTTCAGCTTTTCCAGCAATTCTCAGCTCATTTAAATTTTTTAGCTATTTTTTCACAAATTGCGACTTATTTGTACAACTTTTCTTTTTTTTTTTTGCTAATTGTGAGCTTTTACTGTTCTTTTACCATCTGTCTGCTAAACTATATTTCTGCTCTTTTCAGCTTTTTCAACACATTTTAGCTTTTACTCTGGTTCTTTGTGCTAATTTCAGCCTTTGATTTCTCTTTTTTTGCGCCAAATAGGAATTAGGAATTTTTTTTTTTGCTATTTCAGCCATTTTTAATCTCCTTTCTGCTATTTTTCTTCCTAATTGTAATTGTTTTGTGCTTATTTCTTTTCATGCTAATTTAAGGCATTTTTTTTGCCTCTTCAGCTACATTTCTGCTCTGTTCAACATTTTAGACAATTTTTTTCCTGATTTTTCACTTATTTTTCCTTTCAGCCAACACCAATTGTTCAAATTGAACTCACATTAATAGTTTTCTTATTAAAAATTTTCAGCTTCTTCAGCAGCTTTCAGCAATTAGCAATCACACTGGTTTCGTGCATTTGTCTTGTCTGAAACCACTGCTTCTCTCACATTCACAACGTAACCGAAATTAAAATAAAATAAACAAAATATTAAAACACTGTGGAGCCTTTTCTCAAGTTGAGAATAAAACTAAAAGAAGCTGCTTTAACTCAGCTAGGTTTCAAAAGAATAAAACAATTACCAAGCTTCAGAGCACTTTATCACTCTTCAAACTGCTGTTATAGTTTGATTGTCTGTATCAAAGCCAGGCTTTTTTATCCCTCCCTTCACTTTCATCCCTTTATCCGAGTCTCCAATCATCCAACTCCCTCTCAATCTGCTGCGAGGAAGGTTAAACTGAGCGAGCACTTGGTTATAAAATATTTTAACAGAGGTATTTTCTTTGCTGCGCTGGCAGTTCAAAGTGTCACACACTCCCAGCGTGTTACTCCTGATGAGCTCTTCCTCCTCAGCACCAGTCCCTCGTCCTCCTCGTTTAATTTGTCTCACTCCCACCAATCCTCTGTCAACAGTTTGTGCGTATAAATGGAAAACCCCTCCTTACCAGCTCACTTGATTTGTTCTCCAAGTTGAACTTCAGCAACTGTGTAACAGAGCAAGAACAGGAAAAGTCACTCTTTTGAAACAGTTTTTGACATGTGAAGAGAACACATATTTACTACATCACTTGTTTGCAAAACTGTGAAGTCAGTTTACTTAAAAAAACACAATAAAAATATATAATTCAGCCAGTTGTGCAAATAATGAGCTGGATTTTGGTGTGGTTGTAGCTTAGAGTTGGTAATAGCATAAGTTATATCAGAGGTGTCAGTTATTGTGCTGTTATTTAGAACTATTGTAAAAATGAGAAGGTGCAGATGTGGGCGTGGCAGATCATCAGCCTAACCATCAGCCTCTCTTATGACTTTAACACACGTGTGAAACTTGGTACATAAGTGGGGCGGCTGTGGCGGAGTGGYTAGGGGAGTCGTCCTGGAACCAGAAGGTCACTGGTTCGATCCCCCGATCCCCCGTCCAGCCGTCTCAGTCGTTGTGTCCTTGGGCAAGACACTTCACCCACCTTGCCTACTGATGGTGGTCAGAGGGTCCGGTGGCGCCGATGCATGGCAGCCCCACCTCTGTCAGTGTGCCCCAGGGCAGCTGTGGCTACAGTGTAGTTTGCCATCATCAGTGTGTGAATGTGAGTGTGAATGGGTGAATGTCTGTTAGTGTAAAGCGCTTTGGGGGTCCGGAGGGATTTGAAAAGCGCTCTATAAGTTCAGTACCATTTACCATAAGTACTTCAGTCCACTACAAACAAAAAAGTCCCCTTGCATCAAGATGTAAAACCTAAAGGAAGTTTTTGAAGGGAATGTCATATTTTGGCGATTCTCACGTTATTTTGTCCTCAAATTTGGACCAAAGCTTCTTGACATGATGATGCAGAATATTTTTCAATGGTTGTTGGTTAATCTGATTGGTGTGGGTAATTTCGAGGGTAACATCACTGTAAATTGTTTGAACTTTGCAAAAATGCACGAGATACAAGGGCATCCATTCCTGAACATGACATAAATTTACCACTGTGTCGCAGAGTAAATTACCTGTTAGCATTTGAAAAATATATTTTATCCTAGCAGTTTCAAAACTGTTTTGTAAAGTTTAGACCCTTGATAAACCAAGAAGATAATCGTGATTTGCAGCTGACAAAGGGGAGGGGTGGGGCAGCTTAACGAAGTTGGACGTGTCCCGGTTGGTGCATAACTGGCCTTTTCGTTAAGCTCTATCTGGCTGTAATTAACGAAACTTGACAGGGCGGCGACTGCTTTAGCTTTAGCATAATCCAGATCGCCTCAGGGTGCGAAGGCCCTTTACCTGCTTGCAGTTTTAATACAAATTTTGATTTCTAATAAAAATCAACCACAATGTTGTATAGATTAGATTTAATTGAACCATTCTCACGTATTTAATGATAAATAAATGCTTCCAACTTGACTGTTAAACGTGAAGATGTGTTAAATTAATGTACCAGACCGAGACGTGAGGCTGATTGGGCTCAATTTCAGCCAAACGCCTCAGAAACCGTCTCCCAGACAGAACATCAGAAGCAGTCTGTATTGTCTCTGTAACATAGCTGGGTTGCTAAAGACCAGTCGAGCGTGGGGACGGCTGTAAATCACCTCTGTGGTGTCTGGTGGCAGAATTAAAGATGATTTTTCTTTATCTGTTTGTCTTGTTGGGTTGTTTGATAATAAAATATTTAATCAAAAGGAAGAAATTAAAGCTGCTGATTAGGATTTTACAAGAAAAACAAAGGGATGGGAGATGTGATCGTTGTCCATCACAGTACCTGCAGTGATTTCAGCTCTTCCTTTAAGTTGTTAATCTCCTTGTCTTTTAACTCGGCGCAGACCTGGTATTTCCCCTGAAATAGGATATTATTATTGTGAGTGTCAAAAAAAAAGCAATAAATACCAAAGCACAGCACAAAAGAATCCACTCCGAGGGCCAAGACTGTGTGGCTGACGGGAGTAAATTTACTGCTCCACTTTAACATTAACAGAATAAAATCCACCGAGCGCCAAATGTTTTTGGAAATAAACTCTTCATACCTTCTCCTCCTCTGTGTGCTGTAATTTGACCTGAAACTGCAAAGAAGAGAATAAATTATACAATAAAATGTTTAAAAAAATAAAATAAAAAGAAAGGCAACTGTGAAGACATACCTGTTTTTTAACAGCGGTGAGGGACTCGGAGTGCTGATTTGTCATGGTTTCAATTTGATGTTGTAAGGATTCCTAATGAAAAAAAAAGATGTAAAGAATGGTGAATTTATATTTTTCCTTGTGATATTCTGAAAAGCTGTACCTTCTCCCACTCAAGCTCCTGTTTCTCCAACACCAGCTCACTGATCTGGTCCTCGAAACGCTTCTCACCATCCTAATAAACAGGAAAAAAACACCTTTTACATTAAAACTGACACTAAATCAACAAATAAGAGCATTTCAATATCACATGATGTCATGGACAAAATAGAAGTTGCCACCAAACTAAATTTTAGCTTAGTAAATGAATCACTTTTATATGCACATCTATAAACTTTCTACAAGTTTCATTAAAATTCATCCACTGGTTCATTTTGGTAAAAGACACAAAGTCGCACAGCTTTTCAGAGCTGGGGGGGAATAATAAAAATTTAAACTCTGAAGTTGAGCCATAACAGCAAACTGCTTCAAGTTTCTCTGGTTCAGTCCAGCGTATCTTCTGTAGACGCAGCCAGAGACGGGGGAACATTAGAAGGGAGGTGATATTTGTGGAAAGCCATCCCTATCCTCCCTCTTCTCCTGGAGAAGGCAGGTAAAAGTCAATTGCTCTGCGTATACTCTGTACTTTTTTTATGTGCACGTGGGAGCCGGCCGACTCAGTGAGCTTATTTTATAAGTTCCTATTAAAGTATGCCACTGCATTAAAAACAGGAGAGCGCAGGATATAAAGCTGTTATTTTTGGGGGGCCAGGGAATAATTACTATCTGAGTGTATTTAAAAACAAGACAGTAAAAACACACCGCAAAGCTTTATGAAGCTTAGTGATCCATGTAAATAAGAAACAGACAATCATATAAGAACTTTATGATTAGTTGTCTCAAACTATGACCCTCTACTACAATGGATAGGTTTAAAACTAATGTGTTTTTCCTTTGTTTATAGGAAAAACCTTAGTTTTCTTTCAGTTATTAGACATTTCAGCACACTATCAAAATTTAATGGTGATAAAATCAAGATAAAAGGAGACAATTGTAGAAAAAATTAGGTAAAGTTTTGCTTTTTTTGATCACATTTGTGTTTCAGATCATTAAACTAATTTTAATATTAAACAAAGATAACCGGAGTAAATCTAAAATTTGCTTTTCAAATTAATATTTTATATATTATTTTTATTTACTTACTTACTGTGAAATACGTACATACCGGGGGACACGTCACTTTATTGTGTTAATGATCTCCTGCAATACCAGCATAATCCATTTACCTCAATATCCATAATGTGCAATATTTAAACAATGTGCAATAATGACCTTTTACTTTCTTCTACTTTAGTTTTACATTTACATTTGACTCTTATTGAGCTTTTTTTTTTATTGTTGTATATGTGCGGGTATATGCATGCATTTATATATAT